TTCGATCACATCATTAAAAGTTAAAAACAACATTTTTTCCCACTAAACGATAACTTATTGGTACATAATTATTGTTTTCCCCTCCATTTGTTTTCTTTTTCTTCAAAGAGTACATCAATTCCATTATTTAGCTTTTCCTTGAATATTACTACGTACTAAATTAAGACCAACTTTAAAAAATGTGATCATTCTTACAAAAGGAAAAAATATGACTAAAAATGTCATATATTTGAAAAAACATAGTGTCAACTCGATAAGTCTTTCGAACGAGATAGAAAACATTTTTATCGGATCAAAATATAGCAAGATATGAGTGACTCAAATTCTACACGAGTTCGGAATGGAATCAAAATTATTGTGAATTTATGATTAATCTGTACCTTTTACTTAATGCATTGTAAATGAAATTGAAACAATAGCTTTAGAACTCAAAGTTATGTTTCCAGCGAGATATAATACGCTCTAAACGAAAGACTCACAACAAGATATAAGTGTCACAAATAATTTTTAAATAAAAACATTAAATAGTTATATTTATACGTAATTAAAATGCAATTGTTAATTACTATTTGTGAGAATAATGGAAAAGTTACTCCCTAAGGAGCCCTGGCACATATATTTATATTAAAGAGAGTTTAATGTAAAGTACAATACTAAGCCTCTAATAATTCTATTACACCCCTCAAACTGTGCGGAAGATACAACGCGCAACTTGTCTTTTAAAAAATGAAAACGTTGACTAGGGAGACTTTTAGTAAAAATATCTACTAGCTCTAGATGAGTAGGAACGTGCTTAACAATCAGATCTCCATGAGCAACCCGTTCGCGAACAAAGTGATAAACAATCTGGATATGTTTACTGCGGGCACGTTGAACATGATTTGCAGTCAAATAAGAAGCAGAGATATTATCACACAATAAATGAACCGGCTCCGTGATTGGCCATCCAAGCTCGAACAGAACAGATCGGATATGCAGTGTGTCTTGCACAGTGTAAGCAATCGCACGATATTCCTCTTCAGTGGAGGACTTCGACACGGTAGGCTGCTTCTTAGTCTTCCAAGAAACCAAATTCGGACCCAAAAAGACAGCAAAGCCTGTGATGGACCGAGAACTATCAGGAGAACATGCTCAATCAGCATCGGAGTAAGCAAGTACACAGGTTGGCCGATTAGACTGCTGAAGCCATAGCCCATGATCTCGTGTTCTCTGCAAGTACCTGAAAATTCTTTTGACTGCAAAAAGATGAGTGGTACGAGGAGCATGCATGAACTGAGACACTAAGTGTACTGCATAAGTAATATCTGGCCCTGTCAAAGTTAAATATTGTAAGGCACCAACCATGCTCCGATACTCATTAGAATTCGACAGTAATTCACCATCAGAAAGAGACAGAGTGGTACGGGAAGCTAACGGGGTGCGAACATGCTTTACTGTATGAAGATGAAAACGGGCTAGAAGATCAAACACATATTTATGTTGAGAGAGAAACATACCTTTCGCTGAACGAATAGCCTCGATCCCCAGAAAATAATGGAGATTACCCAAGTCTTTTATAGCAAAATGAGTAGAGATAATCGAAATAAATTGGGTAACAGATGACTCATAATTGCCAGTAATAATAATATCATCCACATATAATAATAGATAAATAATGGTATTATTCTGGCGATAAATGAACAAAGAGTTGTCAGATTTACTAGAGGAAAAATTATGTTGCAGAAGAAAGCTACTAAATCTATGGAACCAGCCCCGTGGATCTTGCTTAAGACCATAAATGGCCTTGCGCAAACGACATATACGATTAGGAAATTGAGGATGAAAAAAACCACGGGGTTGACGCATATAAACTTCTTCTGTAAGATGACCATGCAAAAAGGCATTCTTAACACCAAGTTGTCGTATAACCCACCTAAAGGAAATAGCAAGAGTAAGTACAATATGAACGGTGGTGGGTTTTACTACATGACTAAAAGTTTCAGAGAAATCAATACTTGCCTGCTGATTAAAACCCTGTGCAACTAATTGAGCTTTATGGCGCTCTAAGGATCCATCAGAATGATATTTTGTTTTATAAATCCACTTACACCCAACAATATTCTTAGAGCTATCAAAGGGCACCAACTCCCAAGTATTATTATTATTAATGAGTGCATTAAATTCATCAGCCATCGCCTCACGCCATTTTAAATGTTTATTTGCCTCAGTAAAACAGGTAGGATCTGCAGGAGTAATAACCGTACTTAAATAAAAAATTGTTTTAGGCTTAAAAATTCCTGACTTAGTGCGGGTTTGCATGGGGTGCTGATTGACTACCGTAGTGGGCATAGGTGAGGTGGGTTTGGGTGAGACACATTCGGCCGAGGAGGTGTCTAAAGATATATCCAGCAGACTGGACGGAGTGCGGTCAAGTGAGGAGGGAGGTGATGGTGGCGGGCTGGTGGTTGACGCGGGGGAGGATGTATAGGGTGATGGTACATGAGGAGTGGTAGGGTTGAGAGGTGACCGAGAAGGAGATGAGGACGGGGGAGGGAGTTGGGTCATGGTTTTGGTAGTGGACTGGGCAGGTGGGTCAAAGGTAATATCAGTGAGGTTCATTGGAGACGATGTAGAGGGGATAGAATGCGATGGACTAGGTGAGAGTGTTTTGAAAGGATATGTGTCCTCATGTAACCTAACGTGACGACTAACATAAACTCGACCTGTGATAGGATCAAAACAACGATAGCCCTTATAACCAGATGTATAGCCAAGAAAAACACACTGAATGAAACGAGGTGATAATTTATTAGCTGAGGTGGCCGAAAAATTTGGATAACAGGCAGATCCGAATACTCGCATAAAGGAGTAATCCGGAACACTGTTAAAAAGTTTTTGGTGCGGAGAAAGGCCATTTAAGGTAGGATGAGGACTCCTGGAAACAGCCTAAAATGGAAGCTTCGGTTCCGAGTCAATATTGGGTTGATGCCATTTTTACTGCTGCATATGTTATTAACAAGATTTAAAAACTTCATCTGCAGAAGAAACAGCCTCGCCAAACGCCTGATGGAAGGATGAGGACTCCTGGGATCGGAGATAAATAACCCGCTGCTCTAACTCAAGAAGATGATTACAGAGAGTTTCAAACGGGAAAATTTGGCCAAATAATGACACAACAGTAAATAAAGATTCATACTCAGGTCCCAGTCCCATAATAGTAGTCTTTAATAGTTCACGAGGAGGCACATGGCAATTGATTGTGGCAAGATCATCAGCTAATGTTTTAATTTCTCTCAGATAATTATCGATTGACTAATCAAGTTTCTTTTTTTATTTGATTGAATAACCGTTTTAATCCCATAGATCTGGTTAAACTGGCAGACATAAATCGAGACTCCAACCGCTCCCAAATCTCATAGGAATGTTTTAAATCACGAACATCAATAAGTACATCCCGAGATAGGCCGGGTTGCAAATAACCAAGAACGGTTTGTCTTATCAATTCGCAACCAAGTGGAAAATTCCGGATTGGGAGTTTGACGGTTAAGAACATCTATGGAATAAGTAGGTGGTATCTGAATGGAGCCATCAACCATGCCAAGGAGAGCTTGTGAAACCAGAAATGATTCAAACTAAGTCCTCCAATTAGTGTAATCTTCCACCGCTAAAAGTTTGGTAGTCACGATATTCGTGACGTTAGTTGCCACATGAGATATGGTGAGAGCGAGCTCGGTCAATGGAGAAGATGTCAGGCAGCCAGTAGGTCCACGAAGAGGAGGCAGCGTGGAGGAAACACTGGGCGAACCAATGATTGTGGTGCCGGCAAAGGCGGTGGCCGAGAGGGGGGTGGCTCAAGTGGAACGGCCTGCACTGGAGTCGGGACTGACCATGGGAACGCCGGTGGGAAAATCTGAAAAAGAGAATATGGCATAGAGACCCGACTTGGAGACGCAAAGGTGGAGGAGAAGGTTACACCGGACGAAACGGAACTGAGTGCCGACAGCGATCCAAAGGAAAGTGGAGCACCGGTCGTTGCGATGCTACTGGCTGCGACGGACGGAACAGAGCTCGACTGACTGAGGGATGCAGAAGCGTGCGAAGACGGAGCTGCCATGGTGGAGCGGCGGATTTCGACGTCGGGAAAAAAATAAAGGCGACGGCTCTAGGGTTTTGCACGCGGCGCCGGAATTTTTTTGAGAGAGGATCGGAAAAAATTAATGTGCTCTTGATACCATGTGAGAATAATGGAAAAGGTTACTCCCTAGTTCCAAAGGAGCCGTGACAGATATATTTATATTAAAGAGAGTTTAATGTAATGTACAATACTAAGCTTCTATAATTCTATTACTATTGTGCAATTTTTTTTATGACATAAGCCCAATTACAGTAATTAACACAAGTCCCTTGTACAGTTTAGGACGAGTTTGCATATTACTTTATTTTTCATACTTTATTTTTCTTAATATATTTTCTTTGTACTTTTCATTTACCTTACCCTTCTATACTACCACTACTATTTTCTTCTTAAAAACCACAAAAAAACTAAGGAGACTACTACTATTATTTAAAAACAATGTGAGTATTAATTTTGAGTATTAATATACGAGAAAGCATTTTTACTAGTGCAACTATGGCATTCAAGTCGAAATATGTGAATCTCGTTGTAAATATTTTACATGAATGAATTTTAGTTTACTGTACATGTTTAATTATGACCTTACGCTGTAAGTTTATGGCCTCTACTACCAAATCACAATGTTTTGGAGGGTATAAGAGTTTCCTTTGGAGCATACTACTCATATCTTTTGATGAAAAAGTTATACTAAGCTTTTAACCGCTTTTGTTTGACTCTTATTTTTCAAATTTCAACAATGAATTGAACCTAAACTTATTTTTTTTCTTTACTTAGCTTTGTAATAGCCTAGTATCTATTTAGTAATATGATGCCTAATATCTATTTACGAATATTTCGTATTTTGACAAGTCTTCTATTATAAATATATCTCCCATATTATTTCACACTTTGAAGTAATTGTTGCAGTCCCGGAGTATGTAGTTTGAACAAATCAAAAGCGTGGTCCAAATATATAAATTAAATATATGTAGTGAATGAATAGATGAGGGTAGTCATAAGGCCTGCCCAGCAACATTACAAAGGCAGATATGTTACAGCTAAGGATGATCAACATTTCCCGAACCACCCGGTGGCGGGGATGGACTAGGAATATAAGGCAAGAGAGGTGCGCCATGTTGTATTGGTCCTGGTTTTACTGATGCTTTTGATGAACTTGGTACTGGATCCATTGGACCATAGTCATCCACACGCATTCTGTCTCCATCCCGACTTCTTACATTTCTCGAATCCTGTCGATTAATGGAAGCAAAAGAATATTTAACAGGGCTCTTCCACACTTCAGCGAGCTTTGTAGGTTGTTTAGTTAGTTTGGTTCAAGTTAGCTCACTTTTGAGAAATACAAAACTGAGAACCAAACCAAGTACCTTTAATCGGTTTTGCGCGGTTCCGGTTCGACTTTTTTTAGTTTGATTTGGCATGTTTTGATCAGTTATAGATAGTTTGGTCTGGTTTTTATGCCATCCCAACCTCAAATTGTTGGCAAAACTGTGTCTAGCCTATTGTTGATTAGTTGGAATTTACTATTTGTGTATATGCATAACTCAACACAAAATAAACTCCTGAAGAAGGAATTGGTTCAGAAGCCTACCTTCACCATATATTTTTGATAATGACGGTAAACTACCAAGTTGTAATCTTCCAATTGTAAATTTTGAGAAAATTACCAATTTACGGGAGTTTTGGGACTGACAAGCCAAAATACGGGACTTCGGTTTAGGTTACCATTTTACGGGAGTCGGATTCTCCAATTCCGACAGGAGGAAAAGCTTTAAAAAGTAAAAATAAAACCTAGTCGGAATTGTGTAATCCGACTAGGGGTGTTCAATTTTTTTTAACATTTCCATTATTTGTTTAATCCGAAGGAATTAAAAAAAACAAAAAAAACAATTTAAAAAAAAAAACAAAAAAACCTAGTCGGAATTGTGTAATCCCACTAGGGGGTGTTCAAAATTTTTTTATTGTTTGTTTTGATTTGTGTTCACTCATTTTGCCAAATTAAACGGAATATTGTCCCATTCAAACTCTTGAGTGTATATTTAAAAAAATTAATATATTTTGGTTGAAATAAAATGAAAAAAATACAAATTTTTCCATTATTGTAATCCTAAGCAATCAAAAAATAAAAAATATAAAAATAAAAAAACAAAAGCAAAACTGTCGGAAAGCCCACATCCGACTAGCAGTCTATTTTATTTTCGAAAAAAGCAATCTATTTTGTTTTATTTTAAGAAATTTAATAAATTAAATTTTATAAATTAAATTTTATTTTAAGAAATTTATATTCGAGATAAATTTTATTTTATGTAACCCATAACTTTAGAATTATTTATTAGATAAAACTGATAATCAGATAAAATTTAATCAGATAAGTTCAATCAGATAAAATGAATCAGATAAAATTTTATCATATATAATTCAATCAAAATTCAATATATTTTGTCCAAACATATCTGTACAAAAATAAAGTGACCCAAAATCCAATACTTTATGTGTCGGATCATAAAACTTTCAATTTGACCCAATTAGGACACAATCATTTGAATTTTATGCAATCAGTCTATATCATTAACACGAGTTGTGAAATTTAACACAAGTTCATTAACACGAGTGACCCAAAATCCAATACTTTATGTGTCGGATCATTATCCCGTTTAGACCCGGATCATAAAAATCCCAATTCGACCTGATAAGGATACAATCTTCGTTCTGAAATGCAATTAGCATATATCATGAACACGAATTGTGAAATTGACCACGAGTTACTTAAAATATAGATGAATTTTTAATATTCACACTTGTGATTCACATTTTTTAGGATACAATCATTTGAAATGTAATCATCATATATCATGAACACGAATTGCAAAATTGACAATGGTTTACTTAACATATAAGTGGAATTTTAATATCCATACTTGTGATTCACATTTTTTAGACCTGGATCATAAACCTCCAATTTGACCCAATAAGGGCACAATCATTCGAATTTTATGCAATAAGCCTATATCATGAACACGAGTTGTGAAATTGACCACGAGTTCCTTAATATATAGATGACAATTTAATATTAACACTTGTGATTCACATTTTTTAGACCCGGATCATAAAAACCGTAATTCAACCCAGTAGGGATACAATCATTTGAAATGTTATCAGCCTATATCATTAACACGAGTTGTAAAATTGACAATGATTTACTGAACAAATATATGGAATTTTAATATTCATACTTGTTACCCCCTCCGGTCCTTATTAAACTTTACACTTTGACTTCACATATATTAAGGAAATAAATTTGACTTTACTGTACAGTACACTGTTTGGCACTGTTTGACACTGTTTGACACTGTTTGGTATAGATTTGTTTGCCAAATAAAGCAAATAAGGAAGTGTAAAGTTTAATACGGGACTGCTCAAAGTGTAAAGTTTGACAAAGTTTAATCACCTAAATCTAACTTCCACCTACCAATTCAATTCATTTTTTATGGCTTAAGATTTTGATCAGATAAATATAATCAAATAAAATTTAATCAGAAAAAATATAATCAGATAAAATTTTATTAGATAAAAAATATAATCAAATAAAATTTAACACTTGTGATTCACATTTTTTAGACCCGGATCATAAAACCCCCAATTCGACCTAGTAAGGATACAATCTTCTGAAATGCAATTAGCATATATCATGAACACGAATTGTGAAATTGACCACGATTTACTTAATATATAGATGAAATTTTAATATGCACACTTGTGATTCACATATTTTAGCCTTGGATCATAAAAACCCCTATTCGACCCAGTAGGGATACAATCATTTGAAATGTAATCAGCCTATATCATGAACATGGAATTTTAAAATTATTAATTTAACATTTTCGATTAATTAAACTCAAATTTAACTCAAATTATTAATTATTAATTTCTAATTTCCCCTTGTCGGATTTACCAATTCCGACATGATTTTTTTTTTATTATTTATTGATTTTTTTTCGTTGTAATTCATTCGCAATATATAAAACTTCTAAAAAAAATCCTCTCGTCGGAATTGGGACTTCCGACAGGAGTAAAACCAATTTTTTATTTTGTTTAAAAATCCCTATATCGGATTTAAGTTGGGATTTACTATTTCCGGATCAATATCAAAAAATAATATTAAGCAATCAAAAAAATTTAAAAACCAAAATTCATAATTTTCATTTTAAAAAATATGCCAAGAATTTAAAACAACTTTTAATTCGGAATTTAGAATAAGGAATTAACAATACTTTTAAAAAACTATTAAAATCAAAGCTTTAACAATAAGGAATTAACAAGGAGTTAAAAAAACAAAAAAAAAAATCCTGGTCGGAAGTCACACATCCGACTGGAGGAAGAGGTGTTTTTTTAAACCCTTCCTCTGGTCGGAACACCCAATTCCGACTCCCGTTTTTTGGGAAAACCTAGTTTTTTCCCCGTTTTTTGGCAATAGATGTTGATGAATCCCGTATTTTGGTAAAACACCCGTAAATTTTATCTTCAAACTATTTCTTCTAATGGGATGAAGTTAATGTAGTGATGCATGTTTTCTACTCCGTATTATTTATACTGGGCCAGAACACTTATAAAAGATACGATTACATGCTCAAAACCAAACTTAATTACAAATAGATTACTTTACACAATTAACTTATAACTTACTAGGTATTACTCCCTCCGTCCCATAAAATAGTTCACGTATTGACTTGGATCGTAGTTTAAGAGAGTGAGAATAAAGTGGAAATGTATGGTTGTGGTTGAGTAAGAAAAATGTAAATGAATGTGAGTCACACAAGACTTTCCAAAAAGGGAAATGCGAACTATTTTTTGAGACGGCCCAAAAAGGAAATCGGGAACTATTTTGCGGGAAGGAGGGAGTATTTATTATATAATGACTTTGATACATTTAATTTTCATTAGATATGTGCCGTAAATATTTAGTTTTCTAAGATGTGTCCGATTTTCTCTATTCTGGTCCGATCGGTTTTGGCTGATTTGTCAATCGGTTTATGATTAGATTTTCTTTGTTAGCTCTAATAACCACACCATACACTACATCATTTAAAGAAGAGTCATTTTTATAATGTTAAAAACATAAGCTATAATAAATGTACTTCATTAATATACCTTCATCTTCATGTCAATGGTTGTGTCCATAATGTTATTCCCCTGCAATGGTAAGGCCATAGCACCTGGTGTGTAGTGTTCTTAGCTTGGTCAGTGCGAATGAAAAAACGTAACAATAGGTCTAAGGAAACCAACAGCACTAAAGCTTACAAGTGGAAAGCAATATTGCAAAAGCAGAATATCGTAATTAATGTATACAAACTACAAAGTAAACATAAAGAAATAACTAGCGAAATAAATAATTTTAAGTAGAGACATCCCTTACATTGTATTCTACTTATAGAAATTACTCTCAATAGGACTAAAGTTTAACTAAAAAACACACATGGGATTGCTACGTTTTAAATTCCCTCCAGATAGGAGTGAACATTGATTTCTACCCTAAATACCCCAAAGGGTATTATAATTCATAATAAATGTCTTAATTCATAATAAAACCATAAAATATAACAAAAAATCGTAAAAAAAATAAAATTTCATAAAAATAATAAATTTTAGTAATTATTTATAAAAATAAAAAATTTAAATGATAATATTTTTTCGATTTTTTTTGAAAAAAAATTAATAAAAAATACTCCATCTGTCCCATAAAATAAGTCTCATTTTCCTTTTTGGGTCGTCCCAAAAAATTGTTCCCATTTCCTTTTTTGGAAAGTTTTGTGTGGCTAACATTCATTTACCTTTTTCTTACTCAACCACAACCATACATTTCCACTTTATTCCCACTTTCTTAAACTCCGATCCATATTGAAATGAGACTTATTTTATGGGACGGAGGGAGTAGTAAAAACCCATAAAAAATATGGATACCTTTCCCACTGACTCACAACACCACCACCTCTGATCCGTAAAAATTCTGCCATGTTTTGTAAAAAATGCCATTTTTTTCTGGAAATGCCAAGAAAATGGCATTATTACTCCTTGTAATGCCAAAATTTTAATTGAATCTACCATTATTATGGCATTACTAAAAATTTTGGGCATATTTCGAACCGGTGATGAGATCTGGTGGTGCTGGGGTGGCGGCAGTTTTTTTTACGTTTTTTTTAATTTATAATTTTTTTATAAATATTTTATAAAGTTTTTATTATATTTTTTTGGCGATTTTTTATTATTTTTTTCTGATTTTATTACGTAGTACTCCTTATTAATTAAAACATTTTAAAAGGTACAAAGGTATATTTGTCCTTTTTAGGTAATTCACTCTTCTACTATAGTGTTACATCATTATATATTTCTGTTAATTAATTTACTTAGTTTCCATATACAAAAGCAACTTTTATTTAGTAGAAGTATAGAACATGTATAAATATTACTGCCCATAAAAGAGCAAGTGTGACAAAAATGCTCACTTAAGCTCAAGGTGTACAACTGTACACCAACACAGTAACAAAGAGTGTCTTAAATAAATGAGGCTTAATGTGAGAAATCCTTTTCTTGTGTACAAAATCTACACAATAACTTTCATGATTAATTTATTAATGGCATCAAACTTTCTGATTTTACAATTAATCACGGACTTAAGATCTTGGAACAACACACTTCATAATTTTACGGGTTTAATACGTAGCATTATATTAAACATGCAAATTGACGTTTGTTAAGATACTTAAATTATACAAAAATACTAAATAATTTTATTTTATTAAACAGCTAAATTGTTTTTTATAAATATTAAGGGTATCGTTAATCATAACAAAAAATGACTAGTGTTCTTTATATTGCAGAGATCTAATATATTTCTCAAACTTTGTACCGAGTATAATACAAAGAGTTTCGTGTATGGAATCCTAAACGGGTTTTGCCTTTAATATTACTAAATTGAAGCTGATTTCAAAAAATGTGACAATTTCTATAAAAAGACAAAAATGTGATTAAGAAGGTCACATTTTTTGAAAAATATGATATCACTGTATTTTTATGTCACTATCAGATTTTTATGTCACTTTTATATGTCACTATAAGATTTTTATGTCACTACCAGAATGTCACTTTCGCCGCAAATCGTGTCACTATATTGCCGAAAAAATTTCTGGTGACTTTTTTCAGCATACAAGTGACTCGGGCACAGTAACCCCGCCACCTCCGGTGACCACCGCCATCTATCAGCACTCAATGACAGCCCACCCCTCCCCCGGCCCCAAAACCCCCCTAGCTCCCAAACCCCAGCCCCCTCTCCAGCTTCCCCAACCCCCTTCTCGCGTCCCCTCAACTCCCTAGCTTCCCCGGCCCCATCCCGCTCTCCAGCGGCCCAGTTGCCGGCCGCCATCGTCCCGGCAGTGACTGCTATACCACCAGTGTCCATGTCCTTCCCTTTCCTCAAATCCCGCTCACTGCCCCGTGAGAATCCCTAGCCATCGCAATCCCCGACGTACTAATTAATGTTAAAAGCTACGTACTTTTCCCAGATACTAATTAATTTTAAATTCTTAAAAAAGATCATGCCAAACATACATTTTAAAGCTTTTAAAGACTTTATCAATAGTACAAAAACTAAGCCACTTTTTGGATTTTGTGGTAAAATAAGCTAATAAAAGTTTGTGCAAATAAAAAAATTAGCGTTAATGTAAGTGATTTTGATGCAAAATGGGAAAGCACCCCGGGAAAGCTTTTGGCTATATTTGTGTTTGTTTGTGCTTTTTAAAAGTGACTGGTTTAAGAGATTCTTAGAAAAATGATTTATAGTAAAAGTAGACAGTGTTTGTAAATAGAAAGATTATTTTAGGTAAAATTTAAGAGTGAAGTGTAGTATAATATAGGAGTGAAAGTGCAAAAATACCCTCGAAATTATGACTACATATTACCAAAAAACCTACGCTTCAAGAACCCTCGTGCTGACATCTCTTTTCCTTTGGAGCTTCTGGACTATCAAGGGTTTCAACCGTACCTTTTGGTGAGATCAATTTGCAAGAATCTATCCTCTACACTTTGAATTTAGTTGTTTTCATGGATTTATATGTATTCAATAAATGAAATTGAAACTCATCGATGCGCTACAATTTTTTGGAGTTGTTCTAGCCTATTGGTGTCTAGCTCATCTTTACTAGTACAAGGCTTCTGACCTCACAATATTTCGAGTTTCATCTAGCTTCCTTTTGTATAAGCTTTCCGTTTTTGTTTTCTTTCATAGCTGTACTAGATAAAGCAATTAGCTCTTGCCTTATAAATTCATTCTCAAAAATTTAATATATGCTTTTTTTGGATCCTTGCTTTACAATTTTATTCTTAAAAATTTAATAAATGCCTTTTTTTGGACAAACCAATACATGTATGGTATACAAATAAACTATGCTTGCTCATTAGGTATGAGAATTGCAAAGATTGGTGATCTCAAAGTGGATGAAATGTTTGAGATGTATTCATGGACATCACGTGGAAAAGTTTCTACTTAATCTGCTAATCAAATGAATGAATTTGAAACTAACCAAAAGTTGTTTAATGGTAGCACTTTTCGGACCGATGTTTTGACTCAGATTGTTTCTCAACTTTTCAAAGTATTTTAAGAAACCATTTACTTTAGAGAATGCGCAAAAATAGGATTTTAATGAGCAAGTACAACTTGGGACATGTTGTACTGATATATTTGCCTGGTGTGAAACTTGACTTGTGCACTAATAAATTTGTAGCGGATGCGTACACATGGGAAGCCGTCATAAATGTATGTGCCTTTTATATTCTTTAAATACATTTGTGTTGCAATTTGCAGAGTATATGTTTATTTTTATTATTTGAAAAAAATTGAGTACAATTTTCCTGTATTTTTTAATATAGGAACTGTTCACATTTAGATTGTTTAAAATTATAAATGTGTTTAAAATGCAGGAGCACCCTACTGCCAAAATGTATATGAATACTGCTCAAAGTTTGTGGCTTGAACTATATGTTTTTGATAAGTTACGTCATAGAGCAAAAGAGTCACAATTTCAAGCTCTCTTGGCTAGCATCCGGAAAGCTAAATCGTCACCTACACTAATAGTTATTGATGACAAAAGATGAAGAGGACACTGAGCTCAAAGATCGACAACCATATGTTGCAAACACAAAGTTTTTGCTGACAGACTCTGTCCCTTCCGCCTAAGAAAAGAAGAACTTTTCTAGAAATTTGAAGGCACGATTTGATGATGATTTTCCTTCTAAGTTTCATCCGTTGCTTCATCAATGTGGCCATGAACTAGGAGTTTGGCGTGAACGAAGTTACATATATGTACATGGCTGCTTTTATAAAATGTAAGAACATTTGTAACCGCTTTTTGTAATTTTGATGTATTTTGGTCGATTTGAATAAACTTTTTGCACAATCATTATTAATTATATGAAGATGTATCATATTGGTTATCATTTTGAATATATAAAATATGCAATAATGATTTTCGGCAGCTGCTATTTTTATTATTGGGCTATGTCTTATTCATGAATGTCAAAATGTCATCCTAGGATGTCTTTGTATTTTTGCATAATCATTATTCCTTGGTAATGATATTTTGACATTCATGAATAAGACCTAGCCCAACAATACAAATCGCTGATGTTGAACATCATTATTGGTAGTTTATATATTCAAAATGATGAACTTTACGATGCATCATCATCTATCTAGTAATGATTACCTAAAAATACAAAGACACCTAATTAAAACCGACCAAAAAACATCAAAATTCCAAAAAGCCGGTTACAGATGTTCTTACATTTATAAAAGCAGTTGTATACACATGTTGAACTTCACGCCAAACCCCCTTTTAATGGCCATATGGATGAAGCAACAGATAAAACTTCACTAGGAAAATCATCATCAAATCGTGTCCTCGAATTTCTAGCAAAATTCTTCTTTTCATAGACCGAAGGAGCACAGAGTGGCAGCAAAAACTTTGTGTTCCCAACATCTGATTGTTGATCTTTGAACTCGCCATCCTCTTCACCTTTATTGTCATTAATAACTATTACTTCAGGTGGCAATTGAATTTTCGAATACTAGCCAAGAAAGTTTGAAATTGTGACTCTTTTCACTAAGGCGTAACTTATCAAAAAAAAAACACTTCAAACCACAAGTTTTTAGTTACATTCATATACTCTTTGGCAGTAGGTTGTTCTTGCATTTTAAAGAAATTTATAATTATAAATAATGTAAATGTGGACAGTTTCCTATATTTAAAAATATAGGAAACACGTACTCAAATTTTTATCAAATAATAAGAACTAAACATATAAACTGCAACACAAATGCATTTAAAGAACATTAAAGGCACACGCCTTTAAGCCGGCTTCCCATGTGTACGCATCCGCTGCAAAAATTTTAGTACACAAGTCAAGTTTCACAGCCAAGACATCAACGCATTTACTAAGTTGTACTTGATTGCTTCTCATTAAAATGTTTCTCTTTGCACTTTCTCTCAAGTAAATGGTTTCCCAAATACTTTGATAAGCTGAGAAGCAATATGAGCCAAAGCATGCATCAGTCTGAAAAGTTCTACCATTAATCAGCTTTTGGTCAGTTTTAATTTCACTCAATTGATTAAATAGAAATGTTTCCTCACTTGGCGTCAATAAATACATCTCAAACATTTAATCCACTTTGAGATCACCAATCTTTGCCATTTTCATACCTAACGAACAGCCATAGTTTATTTATATACCATACATGTGTTGGTTCATCCAAAAAAATATTTATTAAATTTTTGAGAAAATATTGTAAAACAAGAATAAAAAACATTTATTAAATTTTTGAGAATAAAATTGTAAAGCATGAATGAACTAGTCTTTACTATGAAGGTTAGCGCGTACGTAAACCTATGAAAGAAAATGAAACGAGGAAAGCTTATACAGAAGGAAGCTAGACGAAGCTCGAATTCTTTTACTAGTTGAGATGAGGGAAGACACCAATAGGGTAGAACGATTCCAAAAAAATGCAAAGAAGCGATGGGTTTCAATTTCATTGTTTGAATACATATAAATCCATTAAAACATTAAAACGATGAAATTAAAAATGTAGAGGATACATTCTTGTCTGATCGTGTCAGAGAAGATGGATAAGGCAAATTGGTTTCACCAAAAGGTGCGGTTGAAACCCTAGATGGTCCCGGAGCTCCAAAGGAAAAGAGATTTCCGCACGAGTGTTCTTGAAGCGTCGATTTTTTGACAATATATAGTCCTTATAACTCTAAGGGTATTTTTGTACTATCACTAATATATTAGACTACAAATCACTTTTTAATAAATACTTCAACTTTTACATTTTAAATAAAATCACTTCTATTTACAAACATTACCTACTATTTACTATAAATAACTTTTCTAATTGTCTCTTAAACATATCAATTTTAAAAAGTACAAACATACGCAAACATAGCTTTAGTGCCTTCTTTAGATATCAAAAAAAGACAATTCGTTGTACCACTCTTAAGGTAATTAACATAATGGAATCATGCAGATATTTAAGTTGGAGTGTGATTCGTTTTATTTAAGTTAGATTTGCTCCAGTTTGTTTTCGTATGATATGGTCAAGTAAATACAGAGTATATAAGTATATTTTATCTTTTTCAACTTTTGGTATGATTTGATTTGATCTCAACAAATTTAGTTAAATCTGATATGATTAAAGTTAAAATAAGACCAAAATTAGACGTTTTGAATTAACCAGAATTTAATTAAGAAACTAAATTAGATCAACCATAAAATTTAATTTAAAGTAAAACCATGGATGATTTGAGCCAAAGACAATAGTGGCACTGGCACACAAGCAGAACGTGGTAATTGGTATAAAAAATCAATTCTTTTTTATACGAAGTATTATTTAAGATCCAACACAATAAATTTAACTTCTACTCAGCCACCGAACACAAAGATATCAGAGCTTTGGGATAATTTTGTTTATACAGTTGTAGCTAAAATAATGCGACTTGAAATAGATCTGTTTGTGCAAAATCTTATGACAGGTAACACAATCTTAGTATATGTTTGCAAAAAAAAAAATGACATCCATATTAGTTAAATCTTTTTTTTAGTATATGTTTGCAGTGCAAATGGCATGTTGCCATGTTCCTACTTCTCCATCAATATTATAATCTTTCTAAGAAGTTAAGCTACATCAGCTGGGAGGATTTCAATATCTCAATTACAATAAGAAAATAAAAATGAAAAAAAGAAGTCTTGAGCTGTGCTTGATTAAAGTTCACTTTTATTCATCCTAAAAGGTCCCCCCCATCTCAACTCTTTTATGAATCTTTGTTATTTTATTTAGTTTTTCAAAGGGTTTCTTTGTTATTTTATATTGGAAAAATTGATTGTAATAATCTCAACTATTAGCGGCCCACTTATAATAATTCAAAATATCGATTATCTTAGAATAATCCCAACTATAGTGACCCTCCGCCAATAATGGTCTATGACCAGATATGACCTGCTATAACAAGTGAATTTTAAATAGAAATAAAGCATAAAAATTAAAAGTTGAATGATTTATAGAGATTACTTGTTATATATCTTCTCATCCACTTTAGAAACTATAAGAATTTATTCATAGCCGGTCATGTCGGACCATTATTGGCGGAAGGTCACTCAAGTTGAGATTATTCTGAGATAATCCATAGTTGGGATTATTATAAACGGACTGCCAATAGTTGAGATTATTATAAGCAGACTGACAATAGTTGGGATTATTACAATCAATTTTTCCTTTTACATTTAGTTGTTTGAACAAATTCTTCAACCAGCTTCCTCACAATTAAACACAATTTTTTAACCTAGACTTATTACTTCCAACATAGACTTAGTGATGTTTGGATCTGCTTCTCAAAACTGCTTCTACTCTTTAAGGGAGCGGTAGTAGATATTGGAGTGTTTGAGTGAAAGTGTAGAAGTACTTATGAGTGCTCCAAATTACTCCTAGATGCAGTTTTTTAGAAGTTGGGAGAGACCAGCTTCTGAAAAACTGATTCTGAATCTGCTTTTGCTTTTTAAAAAAAAAAAGCATAAGTAGAATCAGTTCCAAACACCCCTTTTAATCACAAAATATAGACATGATAGAGTTAGGTCAACATTTTTTCCATTTGAACCATTGGAAAGTACTTAAGGGTTGAGCTACATTTAAAAGCTCAAAAAGGGCGGGGATGTGTGCGTAGTGGATGAAAGTTTCACAAATTTATTACTATAGGAAAATGACAAAGTTTTTTGAAACAACAAAACAAAAGAGAAAAGTTTGGTAAAATCCCATGGAGTGAAGGAGTACTACCTAATTTATTGTCCACCTAATGGAATATAACATATTAAACCATAAACCCAAAAATAAAAATGACAGCATATAGCAAATATTTGTTTTTATACACCTATTTTAGTGGACATAAGTACATTTTCAAATTTTGGCTAGACCTATTTTGGTTCATTTCACATTTCACATTCATAAGCATATGCCTCGAAACCAAATTACAGCTAGCAACATTCATAAAACAGAGAAAAGAAAAAAGAAAACCTGGAATTAAAAAGACGGTTCCAATGGTGGAATGTGCAAGCTTGCATGTGAAAGCTGTTCCAGCAATGAATAACAGAACTGAAAAGCAACCAAAAGACTTCATCCTTCAAGCCTTCAACACACAAAGAATGGTACGGAGTATTTTCTTTTATTCAACGGCAAGAGAAGATTGGGCTGAATATTTTTCTTGACGCCGTTAAATAAATAAGGCAATCGAAATTTCTTAGAAAAATCCGCAGCGATAAGAAGCAGTGGGTTTCCGTATATATATACACAATTACAAACTCGCCGTTGATGAATTTTAAAAAGGTGAGTTCAATGCAAAACAGAGAAGTAAGTGAGGAGAGTAAAGGCATTAGTTTGTTTGGTATAATAAATTAATAATAATAAATAAACACAAGAAGAGTGGGGAAAGCATTGAATAGCGTCCATTTTGCGGGGAACGAGTGCTATGCTTTCAGCCCAGACCGTTGGTTTTTCTGTTGCCGTCTCATGTCCAAAACAAAATTGAAAATATGGGCGTAATAAAAAAAAAATTATGGGCGTATTTAAAAAATACGTCCATTTTTTATGGGCGTATTTAAAAAATACGTCAATCTCGCATGTGTTATGGTTATTAAAGCACAAAACCTCTACCGTGAGCAAATTCAATTGTCAAAAAATGAAAAAGATTAGTTTTTGTGTATAATTTAGAAATATTGACAATGGTACTTGCATATTCAATCATATTATTATGAAAAGTGATTTCGAAATTGTAAAAAAAAAATCTTGGAGGATGATTTTGCGCATGAATAATTATATCACATGAGGATTTGACACATTTTTTAAATCACAGAAAGATAACGCGCCGGATTTATATTTCACGAGGGGTTTTGGTGCATTAAACATTTAAACCCCCCTTTAGTCATGAGAAAGTAAATCACCGGTCAATCGACCTACCCTTTAAAGTTTTGATCCCCTGCAATGATGTCATTTGTATCGTACATGAATTCACGGGTACATGAATTCACCCGAGAAAACTAAAGTAAATAACTTCATATTCTTAGCAAGAAACTAACTTTCAAACTTTAAAGCAACACAAAATAGTGATTATGTTACGATTAAAACTAACTTCGAGACTAGAAGATAATCATCGGAAAAGTTCTTGAATTCACTTCCTTATTAAATTGAAATAAAAACCTCCCAACAAGATTAACTTAAGTATTAGGTGTAATCTACTTGAACTAATTTCATTGCCTCGTGGAGTCACGGATAGGCATGCCAAAGTATTACCCTACAACACCTTTAAGTCACAAGTATGAATTCACGTGCGGTAACTTTTGTGATTTTTTTATTATAAATTTCATGATGAAGAGCAATATCAAACATGTTCTAATGAGATGAACTAACTTACAAGGTCCATAGTTTTTTGGATTCCAAAATTACACACACAAACACACATATATGTACTCTTCCCGTGAAAAAGGGATGCTTTTACTCATTGCACGAAAATGGGTGGTTCAACCAATGTTTCATCACATAAGAAACTTTAATTTGCAACAACATGCGAACAAGTGTTTCAATATAACACTAGCGAGAGTAGGGATGGACTGGGACGGATTGGCCCGATCTGGTACTGTGGAGTTCCAACCCAACCCAACGGTATCGAGAGTGGGCACCCAAATCGAGTAAGAATGGGGCGGGCTACGGGCTCCATAAATCATGGACCAGCCTGGGCCCTTTTTTTTTAAAAAAAAATTGGCATTGGGCTGCGGCTATGTGGGTGGGGCTGGGTGGTTTGGGGGGTAGGAATAAATTCGAAAAGCCATTTTTTTGACCGACCCGGCCCGGGCCCGGTACAAACCCGGGCTGGTACCAGGCCTGCAATCCAAAACTCTAGTCCCGCCCAATTCCGTCCCGGACCCGGTCTACAATACTTTTGCAAATCACCAAACCCTTTTATTACGATCCTCTACAATACTTTTAACTCTTTTAATTGCAAAAGTGAAACACTACGTATTATAGTACTACAAATATACACATTTTACACTACATTTTCCTCGAACATATCATTTTGTCGATGGAATTTGTATCAAATGATTAAGATTGATTTTTTATTTTCAGCTAAGACCTTTTTTATTTGAACCATTTGAGAATTATATATAGTCAATTTAACTTCATTTTAGACCACCAAATCCCGGATGCTTGGTGGGTGGTTGTATTTCAATTAATTCAATATGACCATCATTATCAAAACTTCAAACGACCGCATAGAAAAGCTATAGACCTGAAACAAGCCCACAATTAGTCTCCAGTCTCCACCCCTTCAAACTCATAGACACTTAGACAGTACTGCAGTAGTTAATCGGATGAATGATTCTTACGAAGCAAATTAATTAATTGCAAATTAGAAAGCTAATTCTGTAGAAACTAGCTTAGTATATTATGGCTTAGTACTATGGTTATGCAGAAGAAATGTTTGAAGGACAATAAAGGGGTTTGCAAATGAATTGTGTAATCAACAAATGAAATGAGATCAAAGAACATAGCATAGCAAAATCTTTCCATCTTACTGATAGTAAAGGTGGATAAATCAAGTAACTGGCACTAAATGATACTCTATTCACAGGCTGAACCAGACAAAGGATAACCACCCAATTCCACATCTGACTTGAAATTCGAATTGTGATCAAACTAATCTGTAGCTGCTTTCTTCAAACTTGCCATGTACGTTAGGTAAATGGTCCATAAATATGCAAATGAACTGTTCATCAATGGCTGGCCAAAAAAGTATTAAATAAATATTAGTCCTTTAGACACAGTTAGAGAATAGTAAGAGGTTGCAATTGTATGAATATGAAGTATAACTATAGAAGCTTCTTTCTGTAAGCAAAAATAGACAGACCTGTAAATGTACTGGAATTGCTTTGTATGTCAAGAAATCACATAGTGGCCAAAACATGAGACCATTCATCAGTGTTGGCAGTAGATCACGCTTCAATCTTGCAGCAATCTCGTTTCCACTTTCACCTTCAAAAATTTCAAATACACAGCAATAAAGGAAATATGTTCTGCAGTCCAAATGTACAGAAGACCTGCCCTATACTCGTATTTGGTTCTCTAAATAACGCATATAAATGAGACTTCATATCTTCTGAGTTTCTGATGGAAAGATAAATTATCTAATCTAATGGGATTGGATTATGGGACAAGGAACAAATATACCGTTAAACAAACATACCATATTAACTGTTGGACATAAAGGTTAAATGTGCTCACTAGTATATAGCACAAGATTATATTCTTGTTCCAACTTTACTATTTTTGTATTTTCTTGTTGCAAAAAATTGTGATATTTAACATTATTGTTCACCGAGGAAATAGTTCAAGGACAAACCCATTGCTTTTTCATGATCTAATCCATGCCAGAAAAAAGACAATAGAAGATACCATATATGAATTCTAATGATCCATCTAGTCACAAATTGTGGTGGCATTTTTTTACTTGCATCTTTTAGATCTTGCAAAATAGCAGCTTGTTGAGATTTAATATCAAATAGCAATAATATTAATAACACTTTCATTGTAATATATCTTATTCAGTACTTGATGAAAGATGAAAACTGAAATCAACAGAAGAAACTGTTTCCCAAAGCCACCAGGCTGAAACCAATCTTATTAATGTCATCAACCAAAGAAAACCCTAATTAGGGATTTAAATAGAGAAATTACCCAAAATAAGACCAAAACCGTTTGTATATTCCAAAATAGGACTATCATATTTTTATTCCCAAAATAGGACTAATTACTGCCATCTTTTGGCAGTACCAGACTTTAAACATGGCAGTATTTTCCAAACTTGGCAGTAATTACTCCTATTTTGGGAATAAAAAAATGGCAGTCCTATTTTGGAATTTTCAAATGTTTTAGTCCTATTTTGAGAATTTTCCCATTTAAATACCCTTCTAATAACAGACCAAAAATAGAAATCCTAAACAAGCCCAAAACAGAAAACATAACAGAAAATTTATAAAAAAACTACAAGGTTGTAACTTGAAATGCTACCAAGTCTTAATAAACAAAGGATGCCTAATAAAGAAACTATCTAGAATTAATTTCCTTTCAAGAAACTATCTAGAATTAATTCATGCATCAATATAGAGTGATATAGTTTTTCAAGTGGCAGATGATAGGAAAAGAAGAAACCCAGACGCCCTTTCCATTAGGAACGTTGTTCAAGAAGTCTTAAGTTGAAGGTCATCTAGTGTTCAATGTTAGGTGTCATATTGAAGAGACGCAAAACTAAACAAAAATCAACCATTTCACCAGACCAAGCATGAGGACTTCTGGGTTCTGATCAAGGATAATTTCGAGTAACTACGTTGTTCTCTCATAATGACGCTTGATGTGGCGAGGAAAGTTACTTGATATGATGAGGAATGCAGAAAAGCATTGTCTTCACACTTGATGTATGTGTTTGAAAATCAGCTTGACACCTCAAACAATTTGCATTGCAGAGTGGACCAAAATACCCACTTACATAATCAGGCTGAACTGATAGAATCTTACATTTCAAGGATTCTTCTTCCTCCCAAAAACAATTGTGCTTATTCACGACCCATCGATCATGGGGGTGTTTGGATCTACTTCTTGAAAATGCTTTTGCTCCATGAAGCAGATATTAGATTGTTTGGGTGAAACCGCAAAAGTACTTCTGCGTGCTCCAAATTGCTCCTAAAAGCAGTTTTTTAGAAGCTAGGGGAGATCAGCTTCTAGAAAACTGATTCTGCTTCTGCTTAAGAAGCAAAAATAAAATCAATCCCAAACACCCCCTATGACAATTAATGCCTACTTGGATGCAACGATAAAACTCTCAGGCTGCCCTGGTAGTTCGTTTTCATCATAGGCAGCTCATTGGTCTGTAGCAAATGTTGGCCTGCACTCGATACACACTGATGATAGTATTCATTTCAAGCAAAGATTTCCTCAATTTTTTTTTCTAATGCACTAATTGTCATTGTTTCCACCAACTAAATCCACCAAATAACACTGCATTTATGCATGTGTATGCAGGTTTCTTTTTTAGTATAAAAAATGTATGTGTTTGTGAGTGTCATGCTGTCAATACATAATTGTTTAAATCGGTATCTTGGGCAAGTGATGGTTTGCCTCTATCTCCTAGAGCTGCTATAGAGAGCTACAACATCTGTTACTTTCATCAGTAATTAGAAATTGTGATAATCATGTGTTTCTAACAATTCATAGTTTCCACCAACACCATTAAAAGACCCTCAGTCAATGCATGCTTTGTCAATAAAGTAACAAAGGGCCCATATGGTAAGTTTTATTCGGCAAAAATGGCTAATTTGATACTCCCTCCATTCCATTTTGGTTGTCTTACTTTCCTTTTTGGGTTGTCCCAAAATGGATGTCATGTTTCCCTTTTTGGTAAGAAATTTGTGGTCCATATCATTTCACCTCATTCTACTCAAATCTCAGCCACAACTTTTAATTTTCAACCACTTTATTAATAATCGTGCCAAAATTGAAATGAGACAACCATTATGGGACGGAGGTACTGCTACATAATACTCCCTCCGTCCCCCTGTAATTGTCCCATTTTTCCATGTTTGGATGTCCCTTTATTATTGTCGCATACCATATTTGGTAACATTTGTGTGGCTCTAATTCATTCTTACTTTATTTCTACTTTATCAACTCATTACCAACCACATAATTCTACTTTTCTTAAAAACCACACCACTCCCTTCCGTACCAATATTAGGGGGACGGAGGGAGTATTTAGTAGAGGAAAAGCGTGCAAACTGCAAAATAAACCAGGGCATGCTCGTTAAGGGTGCATATAGATGAAATTGTTCAAGTTGCTGAATTTGTTCAAATTGTGGCAGATATTGCTGAACTATGAAACAGAAAAATGCTACCTCTGTCCCAAAATGTAAGATACATTTGAGATATGATGGGTTCTTAGGAAAATAAATGATATAGTTATAGTTATTCTTTAACAATTGCAATCCTAAAAAATAAGTTAAAGTAGTAAGATCCACAAACAAGGTGAAATAATAGATAGAGGGAAAATGTAGGAAATACAAAAAGTCAATGGTTTTCAACTCAGGAAAGTGTTCAGATTTTTTGGGCAGCTAAAAGAGGAAGGTATATCTTAATTCTTACGAAATGGGACTGAGGCAGTGGCGGATGTGTTTGGTTCAGGGGTGTTCATATGAACACCCAAACATTTGAAAATTCAATACAAAAATACATGTTAAGAATTTATGTATGTAATTTTTATGTAATATTTTAATAGTAAATATTTTTAAACACCCAAAATTTAGTAGCAAAATCCGCCAGTGGACTGAGGGAGTACTAAATATAATTTTTGATCAATTGAATATAAAAATATATGACAAAAGGCTAAAATGATCATGTTAGGTTCAACAAAAAAGTACATCTTGCCCAACATTTTTATGACCAATTTGGCCCACCCAGTAAAATTAATTAGTGGTTGAAAAATAAGTCTTACAAGCAAGAGAAAGTGGACCCTGAACAATATGAATGACATTCTATTCTATGATCTAGATTATTCAGCACATATCATGAGAGAATGAATCAAAGTTAATCAGATAAACCTTGCAAACCGGCATTGAAAGAGAAGAATGTCCCAGTAATAAATGGTCCAAGAACAAGCTGCCCCATCACCAATTTCTTCAGCGAAGTAACCACATCTTGTCTTGGCAATATCCTTCCCAGAAAGTTAAACCACACATGTTGAGCTGGTCCCAAAATAATTAGCCCAAAGCTCGCCATTCGCAACGTCCTTATTATATCTAAGGAATCTGAAGGTGACATTGTAATCATCTGAAATATCCGAACCATAAAGATGATGGGAGAATAGAAAACGGCTTGCATAATATAACTACCAGTGCTTCTACGGTACATGAATCAGAAAAGTAGATGAAATGGTTTAAATGAATTTTTAAAATTAATATATACCTGGGAGGTGGAGTCAGCAGCAGCGTATATGAGAGAAGAAGATAAGCTCTTCGTGAGAATGGGACGTGAATCCAGCATTCCCAAGTACCACGCCAAAAATCCCTTCTTTGAATTCGAAGACGACGAATAACACTTCCGCAGAAACGGAAATACGTGAAAGAACGGAGCATTGGAAACCCTAGTTTTACTACACTGCTTGGTGTGAGATCGAGAGTAATAACTTCGACATTGTTGAAGAATTTGCGATTGAGAAGAGACACCAGAAACCGTATACGCGGAGGAGCGCCACCGCGGATGTTGATCCACAGCGCGCTTAGCTAGGTTTTTCAAGGAATCGATTCTCATTTTTGCTGCAACTATTCCTCCCGAATGGGAGATGTTCTCCTTCCTACTTCCTAATCTCGTGAGAGCCTACCAAACATCAAGATTTCGCGTAATCCTCCTTTAAAAATGACCAAAGATTAATGCGGGAGAGCAGATAATCCGTGACTGTGGTGTGGTGCATGATAATCTGGACACGCTTTGTGGAAGAGCTCGAAAAAGCCATTACATCATTTCAGGATTCTGGTTATGTGAACAAAGAAAAAGACAAAGCTACCCCAGAGTGGAAGTCCAGTTAGGCAATAAATTCACCCGTGCTTCATAAACAAAAACAAAAAACCGAATCCGAGTTCGAATCAAATCCTCTATCCTCTACATAATCGCAATACATTTTTCCCTATTCCTTTTCCCTCTCAATGTCAATTTCATCTGAACGCCCAGGGAAAGGTCGTAAATAGAAGAAGCGGAGTCATGGAAGATGATACATCCAATCTCAGAAACAAAACCTTCCAGAAGCCGGTAAATGAAAAATCAGTAATTGGGGTTTTTTTCTAATCTCAGAAACAAAACCTCCATTATTGTTTCAATAATTAGGTTTATTAATTAGGGGTTTTCTACAAGAGTAATTATTGTATTCCTCTCCACCCTAAAAATACAATCTTGAATCAATATCATAGACGCAACACTGGTTTAGACTCAGTATATAACTACAAATCAATTCTCATGAACTCAAATTTTTAATGAAAATTGTTGTCACTAGCTAGCTGTTTCCTCCATCTTCTTGCTTTAAGCATTGAAACTAGCACCAAAAATTCCTATTTGCAGTAGCAACATAGAAGAAGAAGAGTTTGCTTTCATTTTCGTTATTTTCTTGTGATTGATCTTATATTTTTCTGCAAAATCAGGAGAAAAACAAGCAAAAGAACATACGGAGAAGAGGCTAGAAGCTAAGGAGAACAAGATGAAAGTAATTTTCCTTCTCTTTGTCTCATCACAATCAATTTTTTACTTTAATTGGCCTTTTTATTCATCTTTATTCATCGGTGATTAATTAGTGATCCTTCATTTAAATTTGGAAAAATAATTGCACTTCATTTTTAGAGTGTGCTCTTTTGAGACTTCACATTTTAATATTTTACTCAGATAAAAGCGCCATCGTATTCCACATTCTCATAAACATCCCCGAAAATACTCTTTATTCAACTTGTGATATTTAAGATTGGACCATGAAGAAAATCATCCTAAGAGTTTATCAATTGGCACCAGTGTTTCTCCAAGTATATGGACACAGTAGTCAATAACAGTGGTCTCACAGAAATCATTATTTAATTCTTTCCAAATGTTCAGAGAGGAGCTGCAACATTTCATTTTCAGTCATGTGATTCATCTTATTAATCTTTGTTATGTAATTGAATTTTGAGTTTTCTAATGTATAAGTTAGGAGATTCTAAAGTCAGATTGGGTTCTTCTTAATAGTCTCTTCAAAGATTCATTCCTTTCAGTAATCTTTCTTCTCTTATTCAAATTTGGTTTTTGAAATCACTTCCTAGCAGTGATTCTCTAAGTCTATGGCCAAGGTAGTCAATAATAGTAGTCTCACAGAAATCCTGATAGAATTCTTTCCAAATGTTCCATTAATCTTGAGACCATTATAATTAATTAAGAAATGCTTTTCTTTTAAGCAGATTAATCCGATGTGTTATAAAATTACTTCTTAAGAACTCATACCACAAGATGGATTATAAAATTACTTCTTCTTTGTGTGAGACTACGGATTGTTGCTTTAATAACATTTAAAGATTGTTCTAGATAACTTATGGTATAAGTTCTTTTTACATAAGTGCTATATTTTTTTATAAAAGTAACTTGAGATAAGTTAGAGTAGAGTTTTGGAAAAAGTTGTTAGAAGACATGTATTCATACCCGAACTTGATAATATGCATATGTATATGCACACACTGGGACAGTGTCTTAAAGAAGTTAGGTGTACCTATGATTATGGGTGAGTTTTGGTTTCATTCTCTTTTAGGATGTTTTTAATTGGACTTGTTTCAGTCTCAGACCAGAACAAACCATACTTTGACGGTTGTAAAATACTAGTAAAGCAGACATCTACCATACCAAACCAGACCAGTTGAAACCAGACCAGACCGAAAATTTCTGTTCAATTAAAAACATTCTTAATTTTATTGTCTTCCAAAGCTATGATGACAAGTAGTCCTCATATTTTTTATAAGCCTTAATTAAGTATGCTTTATATTAGCAGGGAGACATTACTTTGTTATGCATACTTTATTTTGTCTACTACTTTGAACAATAATGCTTACCACATAAGTGCATTTATAGCTCTACTTTAATGATCTCACACCCTAGCACACACATCCTGGTGCATCCCACTTTTCCTTTAGAAGGTAAGAACTAACATTTTCACTTGCCAACCAATAAAACAATCAACCACATGTTTCTTATAATCTCCGTTACATAACCTCTCAAGTATATTAGGGAGATATTTTTTGTCATTCATTACAGATAAAGCTTTGGAAATAGTCAGTTGGTATATTATTTTGTGTCATACTCTTTACCTTGACACCTAGCATGTAAAAGTAATTACTCAGTTGCACACTCAGAACTGAATGCAAGAGAGCAACTCTTGGAAGAAGATATAATACCATCTTGGGCATACTTTTTTACATAGATTTATGTTTGTAACATCTATCCTCTTTATTTTTAACTTTTAGATCTATATATGAAACATCTCTCCTCTATTTTTTACGGGGGGAATTTGACTTTTTGCACCCCACTTTTTGGGTGATATTTGAACTTTGCACCCCATTTTCAAAAAACATTGATTTTGCACCCCATCACATAACATTTTGTGAAGAAAATTTGTGAAGAAAATTTGTGAAAGCATATGGCTTCACATGCCCATAACTGAATTGTAGTAGCAAATTGCTGCTACAGTGTCAAAGGCTCCGTCAACTATGCTTGGATAACAGTTCCCACATATCCGAGGTTCATTTCCTCCTTGCAATTTATTCCTTAGATGATAATGTTGTCTATTATCATGTTACTTTATCTCTGACTTTCTATTTAATTCATCCCAAACCAATGTCAACTTTTCCTGTCAAAACCTAATGAGCTTTTCGATTTTATGTTTATTTTTCCTTATAATAAAATAATTTACTAATTATATCCAACTTGCATATCAACATGTTTTTTCCAGCCCCAAACAGCTTCTCAATGGATCAAGGCTCAACCTTTGAGGACACTAAATTTTCTGAACTATTATGTAGCTTTCACAAGTTCATCTACTGCACCATGGTCAGAAAACAAGCATTTTACTTTCCGTACACAAAAATCTACCTGAAGGCTATGGTTCAGGGTTTCAATTAGATAACCTTCTACAACTAGATAATGCAAAAGTTATACTAATAGTCCTATATACTCCCTCCGGTTCTCAAACAACTTCCCACTTTCCTTTTCGGGAAGTCCCGAAATTAACTTCACACTTCTTCTTATTTCCTTATTTGGCAAATTATCTACACCAACACAGTGCAAAACAGTGCTAAACAGTGCCAAACAGTGTCCAAATAGTGCACTCCACAGTAAAGTCAAATTTATTTTCTTAATTTGTGTGAAGTCAAACTGTGAAGCTCTTTGAGAACTACTTTTAGTTATGTGGTTAGTCGGTCTTCGATTCAAAACTAAGCATTTGCCCCTAATATGGTTTTTTAATTCACAAACTGTTAGTCCATCATTTAATAATTACTCCGTATTTTAATCCTCTAAAAACTACAAAGTCTCAATGTGATTGCAAGATCTAAGTTAGTTCAGAATTAGGGGTTCACCCCTAAGTTTATAGCCCTCAAACCCCCACAAGCTAAGGTATGCAAATTCACCAATCTTATCACCAAAATCCTAACTCTTAAGACAATCACTCACCACGATCTCATGCTCCTCTAGTGTCACTGGTGCCGCACAAAATCAATAACCATCACGATCTCATATTTCCCCCCGATAAAGCATATTAATAATATTTGTGCCACTTCTTATTGGTAATTGGATACAAATATTTATAAGCTCAATCATAAATACTAACTAGATATGCTTTCTTTTAAACTTCTTTTTCTTTAATTTCAATATTACGTAACATTAAAATTAAAATTCAATAAAATTAAAATAACAACAATACATAGTAATAATACTTATCATGTTATCGTTGTTGTGCTTATTGTAACTTTGGCATTGGCCAATGTTGTCAACTACAAGTCTAAGAGACTAAACATGTAAATACTACTGAATATAATAACAGCAAACTAACTTTTGTAGCAAATGGTGATCATTAGCAAGTGCCTATATGATATTTGATGGAATTTCGTTCCTAATTGTCTTGAGAGCAAAGCATCTATTAGCTACCGGGTCCATAATGTCCATAACCACCACTACCATCACCAAAATTACCAGTATCACCTCCAAAACCACTACCAGAACCGCCACCACCTCCAAAACTACCATTATCACCACCATACCCACCTTTACCAAAACCTCCATCGCCATAGTTGCCCTTATCTCGGCCATACCCACCCTTAGCAAAACCTCCACCCCCACCTCCACCGCCACCTCCACCGCCACCTGCACCACTACCATTATCTCCGCCATACCCGCCCCTAGCAAAACCGCCGCCACCGCCGCCACCGCCACCACCGCTACCACCACCAGTGTCACCACCGGAGCCTCCATATTCCCCACTACCTTTCCCTCCGGGACCATAAGTCCTTCCTTCCCCTTCTCCACCACCACAACTACCGCTCCATCCCCCACAATAGTCTCCTGCGCCACCGCCACGACAGTCACCACGAGTACACTTTCCATTGTTCCCATTCCCATAACCTGATTCACCCCCTTGACCATAACTCCCTCCAGGAACCACCTTTTTCCCACCTTTTCCATAGCCGCCAGTTGCTAGCGCAACATCTGCCGCCGCCGCCATATCAGTAGTCCTCCTGCTAAGCTCTCCATTCTTTCCTCTGTTTTTCTCCAGTACCCTCCCAAGCCTACTTGCTTCGGTCGACACAAACCCATGAAACAAAGCACACAGAACAGTCGACAAAAAACACATGACACTCCAATGGTGCTGCTTAGAATGTCGTCCTCCAGCCATATTCTCCAATGTCTTTCTTCTTCCCTATGCCCCTCTATCCGTATTATACGTAGAAGGTGTAAAGGCGTAAAGTTCAACTGGAAGTGAATGAATAAGTGGAATTAGGATCAGAAATGTTGGTAATAGATGGAACTAGTTCAGTAATATATGAATCAATTTGATAGTCAACGGACTTGGCATAGTGAGGAAAAAGATTTATGTTGCTGGCTGTTTTTCAATCCAGTGAGATATATAGTTAGTTTAGTGAGGCTGCCTCAGATCAATGGCAATGGAGATTGCATGAAGGATAGATGAGAGGGATCAGGGGTGTGAGGAGTTTCTGGTAGTAAGGGCAGTTTGCATGCTTAGTCAATTGCTCATTAATAAGATCATCTACCTTTTATTTATAAATCTCAATAATTAGAAGGAAAAAAAAGGAAGAGTTAATTAGTATTATGATGGTAAATTTTTTTTATATTGTCAATTATCACCATACGTATTCACAAACTAGTTCTAATATAAATGTATATTTGAGCGTACATTTATACACAGATGTATGTATATGTATGTGTACTACTCTAAATGTAAGAACAAGTGAGATTTCTAATTTGATCCCAAGCGTACACTCATATTATTGTTTATTTTTTGGATGAAATGTAAGTATATATGGAGTATTAAACTCACCCAAAAGTAACATAATACAATGTATCTAAACTATTTAAGCTAGCTAATCTAGACAAAAATAATATCTACCGCTACCCCCCACCCCCCACTTTGCGGCAGGGAGCAGATAGAGATTTTTAACAGTCCAAACTAAATAGAAAAACTAGCACAGGACAGACCCCGGCTTAGTATCCAAATCAGTCCACAAAAAGTATCACAAAAATTGTAAAATCTGGATTGCAGGCCTGCTCCCAGTTAATTTCCCAAAACATTCAATCCAAAAAACCTTGTCCAAGCATCCAAGTTTCTGGGCCACTTTAGGCACATCCACCTGCTGCAGCAGCTCATAGCCCAAGCCTGATGGCCCATACCAGAACCCAATGTCACTCCAACTATATTATTGTTTAATTTCTATTGAAGGCACTCTTCCTGTCGTAGATCTGCTTATCTCATAGGGCATCTTGCGTCTCAAGCCGTGTATGACAGTATCGATCAATTCTTACATATTGGAATAGAAGACATTCGTGATCTGTCGGGACTCGAGCGTGACATATATATTTACAGGTGTGATGGAATAAGACGAGGATGCTACATGATTGGAAATTAATGGCTAGTTTCAACCATATTTACAACTTCACTTATTTATGCAATTTGTATTATTTGTTGTTCATCAACATTTCAGATGAGTTGTAAGTTTCTTATATCATAATGTGTACGAGTACACATACATCAGAAATTGCATGTAAGGCAAACAACCAGATAGCTCACGAAGAATGCAATTATTAGTTTTAGGGGAGACGCACGATATACGCAACAAAGACGACTGAAAGTTACCTCAGCCACTGCTTACGGTTCAAGATCCCTTTCATCATCAGCCCCACACTTTAATCTATTTTATTGGAAGATCGATTATGATTGAATATGATCCTCCATCAATGTTTAGGGAGATCCAATTCTTTCAATTTCATGGTATAAAACAAATCAATATTTTGGGATATATCACATAATTAGTGCGTACTATTCAAATGTAAATGGCGATATACTACGTAATAATTTTTGTCAAAATAGTACTCCTCCGTCCCAATTAGATGGTCTCGTTTCTTTTGGGCACACGTTTTAATAAAGTGTTTGAAAAGGTAAAAGTTGTGGTTGAGATTTGAGTATAATAAAGTGAAATGATATGGACCATATCTTTCTTTCCAAAAAGGGAAACAGACCATCATTTTGGGACATCCCAAAATGTAAATATAGGACAATCATTTTGGGATGGAGGTAGTAATAATTTTACAAAATAAAAGCTCGTCGATTTTTACAAAATATTGATCACTAGTGCGTCGCAAAAAAACAAGCATGTTTTAGTGCGTTATCTAGCATTGGAGCCTTTTCTTATCTATATGGGATAGTGCTTTTGTCTTTACTATTGCTGTTGGATTATGATTTTGTCCCTACGGCTCTGTTTGGTTGGAGGGTTTCGGAGGGGAGGGGAGAAAAGTGAGGGATTTGTGTGTGTTTGGTTGAAGAAAATAGGGGGAAGAGAAGAAGAGTGGAAGACTTTCAAAATCCTCCATTTTCTCTCATTCTAAACCCCCCAAATCGGGGTATTTCGGAGGAAACGTGTTGATAAACACAAACTATCCATCTCCTACGTGAATGAACAAAATGCTATAATACAAAAAGGTAAAAACCAAAAAGTTATGAAAAATTAAAAAATTTAAAAATTTAAAAATTTAAAGATTAAAAATTTAAAAATTAAAAAATTAAATTTTTAAAAATCAAAAAATTTAATAATTATAAATTAAAAATTTTAAAATTTAAAAAAAAAATAATAAAAATTAAAAATTGCAAACTGAAAATGATAAATTATAAAATTAAAAAAGTAAAAAATCAAATAAAATAAAATTATGACTCATGACCATAGGAGTAATATTCACAATAGTTAGACATGTATCTATTTTTTAAAGTAAGCTATCATATAAAAGTAAATTGCAAAAATATTTTCATTAAACCTTTCCTCCTATTTCCTCCAACCAAACACAAATTTTTATCAAAATCCTTTCTTCCCCTTCCCTTCCCTCCTTTGAACCAAGCAAGGCCTACAACACGGCTGGTCGTAGAGCCATGAACACGGCCCAAAATTATAATAAGAATCTCCAATTCCAAGTGCCTCTAACAAGGCATTTTGAGAGGATGTAAGTCACGATAACTTAGTCAGGTCAATGGTGATAGAAATCTCATAAATGTCTAGAAAGATAATTATTTAAATGGAACTGTAAAAGTTTAATTTCAATTCAAGGTATATTGTACAATTTTGGTACTTTTAATTTATACCCCATATGAATAGAATTATAATTTAATTTTTTACAAAACATGAGTTTTATTTCCGTTGTGATAATTTTCAATTTTATTTAAAGATAGGTTCTAAATTTTGAAGAACAATTCTAAATTTTGTAAGATATACTTCTTTTTTGGGTTTTTCCATAAGTATGAATATTTTCTTAAATTAGACTCTACCAACTTTTTACTTTTTGACTTTATGTTTGAGAGAATTCCCTAAATAGAAGTAAAAACGTTTTAAAATTCCAAAATAGGAGTATCATGTTTTGTATTCCCTGAATATGAGTAAATTTCTGTCAAGTTTGGCATTACTAGGCTTTTAAACATGACATTTTTTTCTAAACTTGGCAGATTACTCTTATTCAAGGAATAAAAAACATGATACTCATATTTTGGAATTTCAAAGAGTTTTTACTCCTATTTAGGGCAATTTGTATTTATGTTTTTATCTATCATTTTATCATTTACTTTTTGTGTATATTACTTTTAGAGGTCAAAGTTGTCAAATAACTACTTTATCCTTTATTTTGTTAAAACGCGTGCCAAATTCATAAGTATCTTACATTATGAATCGGATTTAATACAATCTTTCATCCTTAAGTCCTTAACTCCCCAAGTCCCCTTTGGAATAGGCTAATTTACTGTACAAATCCAGATCAATTTATATAGCATATGCTCATAGAAGTAAATTTGTGTGGAAAAGCATTGGTCCTTGTTGGATGAGAACATTAATTGCCTTGACCTTTTGTCTAGTGTAAGCTAGGGCATTCTTTGCTCGATTCAGGTGACCGAATGAGAAAAAAGACCCATAATTTAAGAGTAAAACAGAAAGGATATTTTTCGTAGAGGTTGCTTTCTTCCTTATCAGTTAGTTCACATCAATTCACTAATAATGCCGTCTCAATAAATACAGATTACGAAGACCTAATTTGTTGTGTCGTCAATTCAAAAGCGTTTGAATGCACCCAAAAAGATATCAACTCAAAGGAAAGAGTGAGAACAACTTGATTAGGACACAATGCTGTCATGGGTAGTTAATTAAGAAGGGGTCAATTCCCAATTTTGATAAAAACTTTATTTTTACGTATAAAAAACTTATTTAAAATTTTTAGAAGTTTTCACTTTTCTTTTTTCGACAAGTTCAAATTAATTAAAGATCTCATTTTCATTTTCAACATATTATTACTAGTATTATTATAAAGTTACTATTACTTTATTAATCTACTTCAGGAATAGAGAGCTCTCATTCTCTCTTTAGAAAGTGGAAGATAATGCCTTCGTGTGTTAGGGTTTTGGAGCCGCGCTTGGGCGTCGGCTGGGGTTTAAAGCCGCACAAAGTCCTCGGCGTCTAAGTTTTGTTTAGCTTTTTCAGCGAGAGAGCAGTGGGGAGATGGAGGCAACACAACAGGTGAGATGCAAACCTTAACCAGCAGAAACAAGGACAGATCTATTTCAATCATGATGAACAGTGATGCAAGAGGCATGAAGAGGTGAGGGATGAAAAGGGATGATGAGATGAACAAGGAAGACGAAGTATTGACGGCCCGCCCCCTCCTGAACCACCACCTTGAAGTGACCGAAGAGCCAAGGATCGAGGGCCGACGTTTCATGATTTATTTTTTGTTATGTCGTAATTATTTTTTGGTTAATAATTGGGAGTTGTGGGTGCTTTTTGTTGTGAGATTGAGTGGAAGCAATCAGGCTAATCTAGTCGATAATAGCTTCGAAGCTCTCGCATGCAGGGGTGGAGAGGGGAGGGCCAACCTTGACCCTGACCCAGCCCAAATTTAAAAAATGTCTTAATTTTTAGTGTAAAAAATTTCGGGCAAAATATTTTCCAAAATTTTTCTTTGTATTGGCCCAATCTGGCCCAGTGTCTTGGCTCCACCCCTGCTCGCATGTTTAGTGATTAGTCTCACTCATTTTTGGATGGTCTATTTTGTATTTGCTTAGAAGTGAGAGGGTCATTCGCTATACGGAGTCCAGAGGAGAGACTTGATTTATTGATGATGTTAGAATATTGGGAAAATAACTTTAAATAATGTCAACTATCTTTCATGAACCAAGAATAATAAATACTTTAGAAAGAACTTTTAGTAATATCAACTATATGAATGTAAACTAAAAATAAAATATACTCACTTTTCTACAAGAAATCTAACCATTTAAGACATTAAAAACTAATACCAAATCATCAAATAATTGATATTTGGAAATTCAGTCACTTACTTGATATTTTGATATTAGTTTTTGATGAGTTAAATAACTAAATTGTTAGTGAAAATATGTTATATATCACTTTTGATATATTCAAATAGTTGGTATTATTAAAAATTATTTTTAAAGTTCGTATTATTTTTTATTCATAGAAGATAGTTGGTATTATTTGATAGTCCTTGTTTCTAACAATCAAACAACCCTAGAAATGAAGAAGAGGCAGAGAGAAAGATATCATAATGATCGTGAATCTGGTATACTGTGTAAACTGCCCGCTGCTCTCCCTCGAGAGAGAGAGAGAGAGAGAGAGAGAGAGAGAGAGAGGGAGGGAGAGAGAGAGAGAGAGAGAGAGAGAGAGAAGCGTGAAACAAATCTATCTGTGGGATGCCTCTGTTCTCTAATGTCTTAGGTTTTCCATAAGTTAGCTTCCTTTTATAAGAGAGGATGGCTAACTTATGGATTACAAAGAAGCTAATGGGCTGAAATACATTTGTGGCCCATATTACACATTTAATTAATAACTACACAAATACAAAGATAATTAATTAGATTGGACACCATAAAATATTCCCAACAATCTCCCCCTCAGTGTTCATCAGCATTGCAGCACAAATATCTTTGTCTTTATGTTGATTCAGCAATGTAGAGAAGAGCGTAGATACCATTTGTTCAGTTTCTCCTCTTCTGTCTTGAACTTCAGTGCAACTCAGCTTCCTTTGTCTTTGAAATCAGCTTCTTGAAAAGGATTTTTGAAGAAATCCTCTCACTCTCCCCTTCGATTTCCTCTTGGCAATTTGTTCTTTAATGTCGGGGGTTGAGGAATCTTCAAAATCTTGCTTGTAATCCTTGCCTTCCAGAAGTTACTCTTGATCAGCTTGAATGAAGTCCTAAGGCGCCTCTAGAATGAATGTTCTGATGATGTCCAAACGGCGCGCACAGGATTCATCTTTAGTACACGAGTATCTGACCTTTGTCTCCTCCACAATGTAGTCTTTTTGACTATTTGAAATGAATGCGTTTGAGGAGACCTTGTTGGTGGCACAGCGGAAAATTATGGTTAACTTGTGAGCGCAGCTGACCATTTGATTCGAAGCTGGCTTGGCAATTGAGTTTTAGAGATAGTAGAGAAAGTGTTGGAGGAGAGAAGTGTCCAAGAATGATTTCTTAAGTTAACTGCATGTGGACCACTCTCCCCCTCATGACGATCCGATGAATCGGGGTGTCATGCCTTTATTCTTTTTATTCTGGGAAACAAAATAGAAAACAAACAGAAAGTTTAAATGATAAAGACCGGATACACTGAGGTGTTCCGTTAACACAACATCAATGTAAACACTGATGTGTGGTCTGTATAAAATGATAAAAGCATTAAAGCTCTAACAGGACTTCCAACCAGTCATTGTGAAGCATCTGAATAGATGTCACTCTGGATGTTATGGCATGACCATAAGGATCAGCAATGAAAACTTGTAGCCCCCTGAGGTCACGTAGACATTCGTTATCATCACTATAGATATAAACTCTGAAGCGATGGCCTGGACATGTTGGTGATTTCGATGTTGTAACAGCAGGACTTCCTTCCGATCATTGGTCATTATCTATAGTAGATGAGCCCTATGGAAGTTCTCGCGGGTCATGAAGATCTGCAACTGACTCTAAAAAATGTTTGTGTCCTAGAAAATTCAAAACATTTGGGAGTGGTGTAACCAGACACGACATGATCTATGAAAGTTCAGTGGTATGGGGCTGAGGCCACTGTAGTCAGTATCACTTGCCTCAGAAGGAGACAGTAATGAGAGGCAAGGTTCCCCGTGAAATATGATTAAACACCTGTCTGTTAGAAGACAAGTGAGTGGTCTTGGCTAGGGTTAAGTATGCACTGTTGGACAAGATACAGTGACTTCTGCCCGGGATCTGATTAAATCGGTCCTGAACCTGTTGGGGAATTGTCGAGAGTATTTGAGTGGCTAGGAGTAAATGTTCAATTGATAGCAGACAGCTGAGGTAGCAGACTTATCATTGATTATTGTTTTCTTGTTCACTTAAGTTTTGGGTTAACTCGATTTTAAAAAGTTTGAGAAATTTGATTAAAAGAGCTCTCTTTGTTGAAACAAGCTGTTTTATAAAGTAACAAATTTTGTGTGTGGATGAGATGATAAATAGTCCGCATATAACAAAGACCGCATCATTGTTCTGATCGAGAGCGGTCTGTTCTAGGGTTTCTCCTAGGATGTTATTCTGGCAATGAGCTTTCACTTTGTCCGGCGTTTCAAGACAGAACAAGACTCCTTGTTGGTAGTTGGCAAGAGCTTGTCCCATCATCCATCTCCGGAGGTTATCTACTACACTCAATCCGGCGTGAAGTAGGGAGATCCGACTTCACCGGGTGTAGCGGCTCGCACCCAGTTTCCCTAAGCTTTGCGAGGCTTCTTTGGGATCGACGTATTTCTTCATCGGCAAGGAAGCTAGGCGGACCGTCAGACAAAGCGGGGGGTAAAGACATGGCGGATAAGAAAATTTCAGGGCCGGTGGCGGTGATCTCCTAGGTACGTGCGAACCAGGTTCAGGGATCGAGTGAAAGGCCTTGCTTGATGTGGCATGGAGAATTCCGAATTCAGGAGATGGAGAAAGAAGATGGAGAGATGATGATCTGTCCCCCTCCCGAACCGTCGCCATGCAGGAACTGTGCGACTAGGGTTTGAAAGACTATTTCTATTTCTGTTTTAGTTTGTTTGTGTTTTTGCTTCGAACTACATGTTGTTTTGTTTGTGTTGCTTTTTCCTTTCATCAAAACTCTAGAACTTAGGAGTGGTGATGAAAAGTCTGATTTATCTGTCATTGGCTCAGTTAAGCCCAATTCAAAATCAACGAATCGGATTGCTTTTGCGGAGGTGATATGTTCTAAGGCTGGTTCAAGAGCGGACGACATACGGTGGACTTTTTGTCTTTTTGTAACTTGCTTACGTTCTGTTATAAACATATAAGTCACCTTCTTCCAAATATAAGCCACCTTCTTTTTGTCTATATAATACTCCGTATATGAATTAGCTAGATGAAATAATAACTTATAGGTTAGGTGGATTAAGTGAAAACTCATCTTAAAGTTAACAAGTGATAGTTTTAAGTTGTAACTAATTTACAATATTTATGATTAAAATTAAAAGATTTTGAGTTTACAATAATTACAAAGATACATCATTCATATTTTTCCCTCGTTACATTTATTCATATTCATGTCACCATATATTTATTGACTGATGGAGAATCAAATAACTTTTTATTATTCGATGTGGTTTTTCTTTATATATTATTGAAATACTCCGTATAATTTATGGACATCAATATTACTATAACTACTATGGATATGTGGTCATTATAATGTATCGTTAAACACAATCTTAACTATTAAAGTTATCATGATAATCAAGAGTATAAAAAAATCGCATTTCTGTCTATTACTTTTATTTCAATGTCATTATTTCTTATTCAATTGGTATATGTCACACATGCTGACATGCATGTAGTAACAAAATCTAATAAAGAATTAGGGAAAATTTGAAAATTCCAAAATAGGACTCTCATATTTATTATTCTCAAAATAGGAGTAATTATTGCCAAGTTTAGAAAATGATGTCATGTTTGAAGTCTGGTACTGTCAAAATATGGCAGTAATTAGTCCTATTTTGGGAATAAAAATATGTCAGTCATATTTTGGAATTTTCAAACTTTTTAGTATTATTTCAGGTAAAATAGAATAGAGAATATTACCCGAAATAGGATTAAAACAGTTTGAAAATTCCAAAATAGGACTGCCATGTTTTTATTCCCAAAATAGGACTAATTACTGGCATGTTTTGGCAGTACCAGACTTCAAACATGGCAGTATTTTCTAAACATGACAGTAATTAGTTCTATTTTGGGAATAAAAAATATGAGAGTCTTATTTTGAAATTTTCAAACTGTTTTAGTCCTATTTCGGGAACTTCCTCATATATACCTATCATTACTCTACATTAAACCGACCAAATCCTGAGTTTATTCTAATCGTTAGGCTCAAACTACTCTAAAAAGAATTTGGAATATTGAAGTTTTTTTGTAAACATCACAACTGCAATAATGCAATTATTATGAGTGGTAGGGTCGTTCGAGCTAATTTATATTGACATATATAGAGGGAAGATGCTGCAAAACAATTGGTTCATACGGCTAATTAATTATAAATTAGAGTGTCATTAGCATAAGAGAGACAAAGATACATTATTATTGATATAAACATTAGAAATGGACAGAAGATGAATATAAGGTTGAAATAAGAGTCAAATTTAAGTACCCAAAATTTGCAAGAATCGCAGAACCGACCGTCACTTTACGGCAGCACCACTACTGGTTGGGTCCCGACCCATTTGACAATTTCACACGTACGGACTAACCTCCTTATCCTGCTTGTCCCGGGCAAGAAGTCCACAACTCTGTGGTTGGGTCCGTGGGCAGTAGGGTCGAGGCAGAGAAATCTAAGCCGTCACGGATGTGTACACTCAAAATCCATCTTTTTGGTAGTTGGAACTCAATTTTTGGGTGGACCCGGCCCGCCTCGAAGTAAAGGTGGGTGAAGTTGAAGCCTAAAATGTTTTCTTTTGGATTGGAATTTGTTGTTCTAGTCTGATATGGTCTGTTGTAGTCTAGTCTGAATTGGTCTGATCTTGGAGTATTTTTTAACTCTCCAAATCTAGTTTGATCTTGTTCTTTTAAGTCTGGTCTGATCTGGTCTAGTCTGTATAAGTATGGTTCGATCTCGAACTGAAAACATTCAAAAGAAAACATCCTAAGTGAATAATCTAATTTGATTTTGATTCTGGGTCGATTATGCTCCATTTTTTAATGTTTTTTGGCTCTGAATAGACGAATTCGATATCAATACCACATACTTTTATACATCTATTAAAAAAGTTTACAACAATAATTTTAACTCGTTAACCGCTTTGGAGAGAGCAAAGTGAACGGCGCGTTTTCGTGTGGCGGAATGATTTTTTTAAAGAGAAAAGGTGCAAATAAGCCCTCGAACTAATCGAAAAAATGCAAATCATCCCTTTTATAGGAGCTTCTGTCCGGTTGTTGCCATTTGGGGAGGTTCCTGGTGGAAGTTTTTGAGGAATTTTTTTGAACATCTTCTTCATTATGTCTAGTTTATCCATATCAAATTTCAGCTAAAAATTCAACTTGGAAGGTAGTCAAATGATTTTCTGAAATATACTGCGCTGTTTAATTGCGCAGTTATCTTCAAACATTTATTTGACTACCTTCCCGATTGCTTTTTTTAGCTGAAATTTGATATGGGTAAACAAGACTTAATGAAGAAGATTCTTAAAAAAAGGACGATTTGCACTTTTTCGGTTAGTTCAAGGGCTTATTTGCCCCTTTTCCCATTTTAAAATAAGCAGAGTGATCTCTTTTCACTTTCTTCCCCTCATCTTCTTTTTCTTTCTTGTGTTTTTTATTTTTTATTTTTTTATCCTTTTATCTTTATGTGTGTGTGCGAGCATATATATGTGTGTGTACACATATATACATACATATATATATATATATATATATATATATATATATATATATTCTTTTTATCACTTTTATTGTATGATTTTTTGGTATATCTTATCTCTATTTATATTATATTTTTTTATCATAGCTTATCTTTCTATTTTTCTTATCTTTCTATTCCTTTTAGTTTCGATATCATGTTTCGATTTAGCTTAACTGACCGCAAAATATTTTGGGACTAAGACTTGGATGTTGTTGTTGTAATCACTTCAAAAAATAAACCAGAAGTTAACGATGTTTACTTTTCACTTTATTTTTCCATATTAAACGAACTGAAAAAATATAAAATGTATTGCAATAGTATACTTGTTTGATTCTAATTTTATGTCCATTGTGTGGGTGTTTGAATCTATAAGTATTGAAAATGCTATGCTTTCAATTACTTTCTTAGTTTTTGAGAAGCTTGGTGAGATCAGCTTTTGGAAAATTGATTCTACTGCTAAAAGTTTTTTTATTATTGCTGCTGAATATGAATATATAAAAATAAAAATATAAATAAAAATATAAATATAAATATAAATATAAATATAAATATAAATATAAATATAAATATAAATAAAGATATAAATAAAGATATAAATAAAGATATAAATAAAGATATAAATAAAGATATAAATAAAGATATAAATATAGATATAAATATAGATATAAATATAGATATAAATATAGATATAAATATAGATATAAATATAGATATAAATATAGATATAAATATAGATATAAATATAAATATAAATATACATATAAATATAAATATAAATATAAATATAAATATAAATATAAATATAAATATAAATATAAATATAAATATAAATATAAATATAAATATAAATATAAATATAAATATAAATATAAATATAAATATAAATATAAATATAAATATAAATATAAATATAAATATCAATATCAATATCAATATCAATATCAATACAAATACCAATACAAATACCAATACAAATACAAATACAAATACAAATACAAATATCAATATCAATATCAATATCAATATCAATATCAATATCAATATCAATATCAATATAAATATCAATATCAATATAAATATCAATATCAATATCAATATCAATATAAATATAAATATAAATATAAATATAAATATAAATATAAATATAAATATAAATATAAATATAAATATAAATATAAATATAAATATAAATATAAATATAAATATAAATATAAATATAAATATAAATATAAATATAAATATAAATATAAATACAAATACAAATACAAATACAAATACAAATACAAATACAAATACAAATACAAATACAAATACAAATACAAATACAAATACAAATACAAATACAAATACAACTACAAATACAAATACAAATACAAATACAAATACAAATACAAATATAAATATAAATATAAATATAAATATAAATATAAATATAAATATAAATATAAATATAAATATAAATATAAATATAAATATAAATATAAATATAAATATAAATATAAATATAAATATAAATATAAATATAAATATAAATGTAAATATAAATGTAAATATAAATGTAAATATAAATATAAATATAAATATAAATATAAATATAAATATAAATATAAATATAAATATAAATATAAATATAAATATAAATATAAATATAAATATAAATATAAATATAAATATAAATATAAATATAAATATAAATACAAATATAAATATAAATATAAATATAAATATAAATATAAATATAAATGTAAATATAAATGTAAATGTAAATATAAATATAAATATAAATATAAATATCAATATAAATATCAATATCAATATCAATATCAATATCAATATCAATATAAATATAAATATCAATATAAATATAAATATCAATATCAATATCAATATCAATATCAATATAAATATCAATATAAATATCAATACAAATACAAATACAAATACAAATACAAATACAAATACAAATACAAATACAAATACAAATACAAATACAAATACAAATACAAATACAAATACAAATACAAATACAAATACAAATACAAATACAAATACAAATACAAATACAAATACAAATACAAATACAACTATAAATATAAATATAAATATAAATATAAATATAAATATAAATATAATATAAATATAAATGAAAATATAAATATAAATATATATATAAATATAAATATAAATATATATATAAATATAAATATAAATTTAAATATAAATACAAATATAAATATAAATATAAATATAAATATAAATATAAATATAAATATAAATATAAATATAAATATAAATATAAATATAAATATAAATATAAATATAAATATAAATATAAATATAATTTATAGACCAATCATTGTATAATTTTGTGCCTTGAGCTCCCGATTCTACCTTACATTTCTAATTGTGCCACTTACTACAATTATGAAGATGATTATAAATTTACGTATGACTATTAATATTAATATCGAGATTATAGTCATTAATAGTTGTATATTAAGTCA